ATTCCTCAATCACGAGAGCTTTCAATCTACCTAGTTTAGCAGAGGTCAACTCCGAGAATCGAGGGACAATGCGGCCCCCTGTGGCAATCGCGATAAGTTCAAGCTCGACACCTCCCACCCAACGAATAGCAGGGAGTTTACGCTGATATCTAAGGAGGAAATGCGCCTAGCTATAACTAAGTCTTGCTACTATTACAAGAGATGGTTGGCCTCGTCATCGAAGCCCCACTGGCATATGGCTAGGTTAGCTCCTGATGCCAACATGGTGTCCACCATATCAGAAAAATACCTGAATACAGCCATGAACAGTGACGACACTCAGCGTGTAAACATATGGTATTATGGATAGGTACTTGGGTAATATAATCAAATAATTTATAGCAACATGTTTACGATATCAACGGAGTTTCACCACCCTAGTAATATGGAAAAACACCAGTAAAAAATATATTCCACGACTGTAAACCGCGAATATCGCGTTTCTCACAGAGTATTACGCCACTTCACGTAAAACGGGTGAAAATCCAATATATAAAGGCTTCTATTATAATATACAATAACCTTCATGGGGCATTAGCGTAACCAGTGAGGATGATTCTCCTACTTCTGTTCGTATTTATATAATTTCTTGTAGTCCTCAGCCGACTTGATATCGATCTTATGCTTAGTCTTAGGCTTCGGTGGTTCAAATGGACACGTCAGAATGCCTGATTCAATACTGCACATCATCCTAGTGTTCTTATTCCTTACATATTTTCGCGTCCTTAATCTCCTTAGGCATTTGGGGGTGTGAGAACTCCTTGTCAATGACAATACCGTTGACCAAACAGGTGTCTTCTAGCCGACCGCCAACCTTACCCTGAAAACCATACAAGCACTACTCACAAGACGGCAACAGTGACCACTGCTACCTCAACTTTGATGAGATCAAAATTGACGTCCTTTCGTTCCAGATCGGCAACAGACAAGACGGCATCGGTGGCAATCTTGGCCATCTGGGACTGCCGCGAAGAGACAATCTGCCAAAGGGGCGGATCAGAATGAACGGGAATTTCCTCTGTGACTCTACCTTAGAGCCCAAGGCGGTCATAGCAGCGTGATGGAGCTCCTCGTTGTCATTCTTGAAAATATCAACCTGGCATGCAGCGATTTCGAAAACCGAGGTACTCTCGACCACTACCTCTTTGCTGATCTCTTTCACGCGTTTCACGGCAACCTCGCATGCTTTTTCAAAACCATCTGCAATTCGTAGAGGATGAATACCCATCTCGAGAAGTCTGATAAAAGGCACTGCAGCAAGTCCAACAGGGCAGTTACCTTACTTGTTCGCTTGCTCGAGCAAAGCACCAGCGATGATGACGATGCCAGTAGTACCATCACCGATTTCATCGTCCTAAGAGAAGAGAATTTTTGACTATACAGATGTTTTCAGTTTACCTGGCTTTTGGAGAGCTCCACCATCAGCTTGGCCACCTGATTTTCCACTTGCATCTTATCAAGAATAGTGGCACCATCGTTGGTAACAGTAACGTCACCATCAGGACCGACGATGATCTTGTCCATGCCTGCAATAACGATCAAGTCTCCCTTGTTGAGGATCACGCTTACCCTTAGGGCCAAGACTAGTCCGGATGGTCTCAGCGACGCTACGTGCAGCGAGAATGTTAGTCTGCGGAAGGAGTATGTGACGCGTTGATATAAAGTCAAGGCTACCTTCTGGGCATCCAAACCGGTGACTCGTTTCTTGTCATTTTGATCTTGCATGATAACAAAGGGGTTACCGTACTCATCTACGGCGAGTTGGCCCACTGGGAGCCCACCTGTAAAAGGAAACATCCCCAATACTCCTATTGAGCTTCTAGGCATATCGACTACTGTCACCGATACACTAACTCGTATACTATAGCCCCTACATCTGGAAGCACTTGAGATGAATGCAACCAACGGGGGTAACAACGAGGAGATGATTTCGAAGGCTTTGATGACACTCAAACAGTAACCAAGATCTACAGTGTCGCGAGATAGTGATGGGATGATGCCACTTACTTGTCCCTTCGTTGATCGATGCCATTTCCAATGAGAAATAACTCCCTCAAAAAGTGTGGTGGTAAGAAATGAATGCAGCGAATCAGAAAGTGCAGCGGAGCGAAGCGTTTCATGTTTGGCAGTTTTCGGCAACTTACGACCAATGATACGTTTGGCAGTGAGGTAGCTCATTCCTAGGCCTCTGAACATGTATTAGAGACATGATCAAGCTCCGATGTCCAATACAAGTGATCAGTTGAGAAGATTGCCCATCATTTCAGCCACAATGGTTTCATTAAGTGTATGCTGCGGAGAGTATATTTTATTACATCTTCAGCTGTTCAAGAAGTGTTTCATGGAAATTAGCATCTGAATTCGGGCTCATGACTATTCGGCCAACTCCCACCTGCATCTCGACGTTTAAACCAAGCAAGCTTTCGGGTTTCAAGGTTAAAATGCATTCTATCAAATACGAGAGCGTCCGCATCTCCAGGCTGCGGTAGTGGAGCCTATGTTATCGCGTACGTGTATGTGTTGCATAACTCCCACCAACACAAAGCAGTTATAGAACTTGATACATTGCAACTGACATGGAGCTACAAACGGCAACCTGACCAATACTAGGTCGATATAACGGGTGATCTGTCATTTCCCAGTGGATCGTCTGGCACAATAGTGATAGGAAGTATGCCAATATAGGTTCCCGTCACCGCCTCTTCAAACTATTCGGACTAAATATGATCCCATGTGGTGCGTCTGTCAAGCGACTGTGTAGGGTGCTGACCTGACTTCACATGGAGGCTACCCCAGCAAGCGGTACTCGAGTCCTATTATCTCCCTCGGGATCATCCACACCGTTAACTGCATAGACTAACATGCTCAACAAAGGCCGTGAAACTAAGAACCAGTGGATCCATCCACACATACACTAACGTGCCCAATATAACGGTTACAGCAGATTACACGGCATAGTACATCTATTCAGCGTATTCTCAAAGGACTTATTAACGAATACAACAGGGGTCCAGTAAGAGTCTAAAAACTGTGAAAACGTTGTTGGCGCAAGTAGCTGCGATTCGTGGTTGTAAGTCGTAATGGTAGTAGTAGTCATCATCAGTAATCTCCATGCAACACCCATCTTCATCATTATCATCTCCTTCACACTTCCATGCCAGTTCGACAACCGCACAAGCAACAGCGATTTGATGTGATGACCTCGAACGCGTCGAACACGGCGGAGCAGAAAGAGCACCGTAGAAGTGCACCGAAAACCCTAAGAGAAATCGGAAATTACATTTCCTCCGAATTCGTACGAATCACTTACAGAGGTTTTCGTGTCTTTTGGCACATTAAGGCCTTATGGGTCGGATTCGCCTCGCAGATGAACACACGAGCATTATCATCAACAGTCATCTTAGACGGCGTCACATCGCCACACAGTGGACAGTCCGGTGAGGGGAAGTTGGGCTGTTCAATATCCACCGGTAGCAATTGTTGTTCGCCAAGTAGATCTTCCTGACCACCCGACCACAACAGGTTTAGTATGGCTCTTCGTTCATTCTGCATTGTTGATTCAGGGAAAGGCCGTGAGACTACTGCCATGAACGTAGCCCTGGGTGTATGCAAACGGCGCATCATCGCCCAATACCTATAGGCACATGTCTGTCACACAGCCATACCCGTGATATAAAACACACTAGTGAAAAACGCATGTGAGCCGTGGATAACGCGTAAATCACGCGATGTGTTTTTCATGTGATACGGTGTAATTCGCGAGGTGCCTCCAGTTCACTTCATATCGTGTTTTCCATATAGAATATTACGCCACTTCACAAAAGACGCGTAAAACCTCACTTACACACAATGGAGAGCCATCACCACCCGTGCCTTGGACAAGAGCTCCTCCGTACCTGTACTAACCTAGCCGTATCTTAATGCATCGAGTGACCTACTTTCCAGTGGGGCTCCTACTGCTGTTCCCGGACCAGCATCGACATCCATTCCTCCAGATGCTGCTGGCATCTCCCCTTGCTCGTTGAAGATCAACAACGAAGTAGCTGAATAACCAGACGGTAGGACTCCTAGCCGTTCAATAGACAACTCCAATGCTCGATTCACTGAATTGAGATTGGAAATCGAGGAGAGCACCTGAGCTCGGAAGATTCCACGATCAATACTCCAGAGCTTATCATACCTGTGGTCTGGCAGGATCCACACATGGTGGGACTCTACCCGACAACAAGGAAAGGTAGCAGTCATATAAGTTGCTCCCAGTCCCGGCGTTCGCCAGGAGAACTTCTCCTATGAAAAAGTGCAAATGAGGTCAGTGCGACTGTGTGGGAAAATATGCACAGGGTCAACTACATGTGTTGGTGACAATATGAAAATTCTGAAGAAATTTTGGGAGTTGGTCGTTTTTTTGAAGTTTTTTGAAAGTTGGTGTTGATTCTGCACACTCCTATTCGAGTTCATGCATAAACTCCTATAATCATTGAGGGAACTCCTCTGCTCAGGTGAGGAAAATAAACACAAATTCCCCCAACACTGAATAGATTGAAAACATCATCAACAAAACGATTCTTACTCAACAGCTGATTAGCCTGCTCATCTGAGGAGATGCCAGGCTGCACAGTCGGGGGACCAGTCAGCAAAGCCGTCTCGATGTCCACCATCACCCTCCTAGCTCTTCGTAGCATGACTCTAGACTGCTGCTTATTCACCGTACCCCCACAGCAAATGGCAATCTGATGCAAATTACACTAGTCGCACCCACACAGCGATACACGAGGTCCTACGATCTCGGTTCCATTCGGCGATAACACTTCCCCTTGCAATCTAGCAGCAGGGTCGAACCCCACCAGGTTTATCTCCCGTAGACGATCCGGAAGCGCTGATACCTGCACGATATGCATGGCAACTATGCACTCGCGAGGTATAATAAACGTTCGTGTAGCAATGGCCACTCTGCTCAAAATAAGAAAGGCTCTCCATCAATTGCATGAGCGCGGCGAAGGGAAGAGTTATTCAACGGCACCCACAGGATCACGACCTATATACAGTCTTACCGCGATGCGCGTCCCAGCAGACTTCGATACTATGAAGTACCCCTGTCCCTTCAGAGGGGCAATTGATGTGATCGGAGAAGAAAGGTCGTCGTCAGCCTCGGTATTCACTGGTGGAACCGATAGGCATTCAGAGGGACTGATTACGAACGGTTTATGTAGGTGATGCGAAACAGTGCAAAATTCGAGACACATAAAAACAATGTAGGTCATAAGTAGATGGTGTTTCGAGATACTACGAGAGCAAGCTGTAGAGTGACAAAAAACTAACAAATGATTATGAAAGGCATTACGCTCATTCACCCGCGATAAGAGAAAAACGCTAGTGAAATATATATATTTCACAACTATTGCATAGTGCAAATATCGCGTTTTTCACAGAGTATTACGCCACTTCACGTAAAGCGTGCGAAACTCTAGGAGAGCCTACCCTTGCAGATCTGCACTCTCTTCTGTCCACGTAACGACCTTAGCCTCATATGTCGCTGTAGATGCGGCACAAATATGCACCAACTGTCTTGGGTCTCCGATAGCAGTCGGGTCCAATAACACTTCACAGCCAACACTCTCAACGAATGACGGTAGATTGCATATCTTCACAAACCTCGGAACATTAAGTGGCTGAGATGAAGCAATAAGAGCAAAACCTCAGGTCTAACTCCTACCACTATCCCATGTGGGAGTTCCACCAGGAACACCGAAGCAGCCATAACAGCACCAGACTGCATCCCTATGACCAGGGCGAGCGCTTCTACCTCCACTGTTGGACACGCCACCAGATCCACCTACAAGGCGATCATTAAAGAGGACCTACTGCTCCCTCACCATTTCCTGCAGGGGAGGCGCGCCATCCAGTTGTAGCGCTTCTGCTTTAGCCAACACCATTTCGGTCGGCAAGGGGACAGATCGGTGTAGCGGCTGACAACTCACACTAGTTATCAAACTCGGCAGATCGAGAGCGAGGAATGGTCGGAATCTGAAACAAGAAAATGTCCTCATTTTTCCGTGTGAGAAAATATGCAAATGGTCAACTACAAAATGATTTTTTTCGAGGAAATTCCGAAAAATCCTCAATAATTTCCGAAAACTTCTACTCGAACTCCTATAACCAGTGAGAGAACTCCTGAGCAAACATATATTCCAAGAGGATCACCAACCTTGATGCCTCAGGAGCAATATCCCAGAACAGCGCCAGAGTGCCATGACAAACTATAAAAGCCGAACCTGTTCATACTAGACTACTTCCCAAGAGCGCGAGGTGAAGTTCCTACTGGTTGGCCCTATCTTCCTAGGAGCCCACGTTACAACAGCATCTGTACGGGAACTGGCGATGGGGATTGGGAAAACGATGGATATACGGCGGTGAGGGGAAGTGCCGAGGACCTAACATCCGACAACATGTGTGAAGTGGCGTAATACTTTGTGAAAGACGCGATATTCGCGGTGATATGCAGTAGTCGTGAAATATATTTTTCATATCACTAAGGTGAAACTCCATTAAACGTCATGGAGTGATCCAGTGATAAGAGCAACTCATGCAAGAGAATACGCCTCCCCTACCTAGTTCGATAGGCTGACCACATTGCCCGTCCGGTTCTATAGTTATCAGTGGTGGTGTTTTCGAAGGTGGGGCTGCCCATGCCTCAGATGGGTTCAGGTCTGCCAATGCTGGACAATCCGGACCTGATTACCACTCCTTCTTGAATTCACATGAGATCAAACCATAGCATACCATTTGCTGCAGTAGAATGCTCGGAGAGGACAAACAACTGGACTACGAAGGCGAAGCGAGGCACTAGGGCCAGTATACAACCTGACTCGACTGCTTCCACCAAAGCCCTTTTGCCTGGGGCCCTTACCCTGACCACATGCATAGCCAGGTGACCAGTGTACCGACTTGGGGCTGGTACTCATCACAGAGTAATGCTGTTGTAATAGGGTGAGGATATCCGCTTGGGTGGACTAAGAGAGAGGCCCTCAAGGGTCGCGATACGGTCGAGGAGTGTTGGAGGAATATATATGTTCGCTTTCATCAGGGGAACTCGGGAATTTTCTCACTCACTATAGAAGTTTTCGGGTAGAAGTGTGCAGAAATTAACAAGAAATCCCCAAAATTTCCTCAGAATTTTCATATTGTGGCCAACACATGTGCACATTTCTCCCCTCACACTGCTGTCAAATACCCTTACCGAATTCTCGCCCGCAACACGTTGAACATCGCCAACCCACAAGTCCTGAACCCCAGCAGGTCCTCCACACTGACCGAGTAGATTGGAGGCCCCCAAGGGTATACCAGGGGCACTACTGTTGCTCACAGTAGAGCCTCTCTGCTGGGGACGAGAGGGACTCAGATCATCGGCTGAATAAACCAACAACAACAAATCACATATGGACGATTGTCACTGAATTGAATTACCAAAGATGTACATACAGTGCTTAGTGCCAAATGTGAAGATTGTGCGTTTTCTATTCCGGGATCAATGATAGTGAACAACTTGTCGCTATCATAGTCTCGAAAGGTTACCTTTATCACATCACATGTGCATAGCAATGTTTACATTGTTTATGCGATATAGTTTCAGATCGATTCTCATCAATCAAACGCAGACTCCCATGCACTGTAGTAGACATCCGATCGACACCATCACGATAGCAATTTTCAGAGCATGTTCCCCCACCTCACGAGAAAGCTATACAGATCACTCTATGAATCGCAGCACTACCTTCCGAGTTTTCTGGTACCAGTTCACTGGCATCATCATCATCAGAGGACGACGATTCAGGTTCTGATTCCATGTGGAAATCAGAATCATCATCATCCTCCTCCTCAGACTCCGAATCACTCCTCACAATACTACGTCTCTTCTTGGCCTACATGTAAACACACACATGACGATGAGTAATATCCTTAGACCACTACACACTATTGAATTCATATAAGAGATAAACGCGTCGACACAGGAGGAGCAATACTGGTGTTTATATAACCCCTGATATGAAAGAAAACATTCCACATTTCACTTCGCGAAAAATACATCGATACAGTTACGCACGCGTAAACCACATATGACGTTTCACGTGATATTGCATGACTCTTGCTGTGTGATCCCCGAAGTGATTTCACTTCACTTCATACCGTGCTTTTACGCCACTTCGCGTAAAACGGATGAAACTCCATTAATGACGATCAGACAAGAGTCCCCCGGTCGCCCGAGATTACTTTGCTTTTCGGCTGCTTGGCATTCCTCTTCGTAGACGCAGACTTCTTCCTACTATTCGTTGACTTCTTATCCGTTTTCTTCGTCCTCTTGCTCCGTCCTCCTGCTGCTGTAGATACCCTCTTAACCGGCTCAGGATGGTCCCTAGATCTATTGGTCGCCGCCTTAATGCCTCCTTCCAGCAACGCCATAGCCTTCAACTTAACTTCCTTGTCGGAGCCTCTTCGACGAGACAACAACTTTGCAGCATGGAACTCCTCCTCCTACAAGAACAATCACTCTGATGACGAATTCGGGTACAAGTCTTCAAGAAATTCTCCAAAAAAATTTCCAGTGAGTATACACACTATCATTCAAGCTACTATCAGCGCGGTCCGCGCCATATAATCTTTGGAGTTTCACCCTAGTGATATGAAAAACACATGTTTCACGACTACTGCATATCACTGCGTTTTCACACAGTATTTCGCCACTTCACGTAAAACGGATTGTGAAACTCCATTATGCGACATATCCTCACGGAAGTATTACCCCATTTTCCAATTTTAATCTCTTAGCTTGAAATTCCCCACCAGTAATCTGCCTTGAAGGAGTTATTTGTCCTTTCAAGAGTCGTACCGGACCAGTCACTCCTGCAGCCGCTAGTGCTGATCGAGTCGTCCCTTCTAAGAAAGCCTACACAAGGGGGAGAATGATTATTTACACGCTGAATAAATACGATATGCACATCCTCCAAAAAAGCATGGAATCGAATATAGCCCCACAGCAAGGGAATTGTAAACTGTACGTCTTCGGAGACACAACGCCGTCTCTTGTACGCCTGCCTCAGTAACCTGTTATTACTACAAGACTACACTAACAGTCTAAAACTATATTTCTGATTTCTATAAGTCTTCAACACATACTTTTGAGCGTACAATTTTGCATAAGATACCCCCTCATTGTTACTACCGTGGCATCCAATACATAGACCACCTTCTCAGTAGCGACCGCTACATAGTCATCTACCGACCAGCTCGCCACAGGGCCTATCGAAGTGACCAGATATGGTAGTGTCGTAATCTGCAGCCACTCCTCATCTGTGCTCATTTCTAGTGAGCCAATGAAATACTGAGAACCCCATCCATAGAGTGGCAACTGCTTAACACAAGACTCACTACTTCCCAAATCTTACTTGTCATCTAGACTTTAACGTTTTTAAGCAAAGTATACTATACCTCGACGGCGACGAGGTCCTACGACGTAAACTCTACGCTACTTATGGTACTACTCCTATCCTCATCATCATCAACGCCGTTCACCGCCACCGCCACTCTGCCGGAGTACAGATTGCATCGCTGCGCCAAACATACTCCTAGGGCCACCCCCGCCACCTCCCATACGCCCCCCTGGTCGCCCTCTATTCTCGTGGCGTGCGGGGAGACCAGGAGGAGGAGGCGGAAACGACTTCGGTCGATGTATCGTCCTATGACTAGCTTTAGCTGCCCTCGGTATAATGCCCGGTGGAGGGGGCGGGAACGATGGCATCGGAGTATCGCTACTACTGCTCGGTGGTGACAATTTCTCCACCCCCAGCATGGACCTATTCCCTCCCTGCTCCCCTTCCCGGTGGCGATGATGATGATGCTGCTGCTGCTCTCGTATCGGAGCTGCTGCGGCTGCATCCAAGGCGTTCCGCGGCCCACCCGTATCAAAGGCATTCCGCGGACCACTCGTCCTCGGTCGTCGCGCGGCATGAAGTCGGTAACTTGAAGCCGGAGATCCCGACCTGAAAGCACAACTCTAATATGATGACTACAATCGAGGAAATACATTGTAGATAAAAAACACAGAGAAAATCTTGAAATTGAAACTTCAAGATTGTCAAACCAGTTCCGTTTCCGAACGACAACCCCACACGTATTTCTACGAATTTCGTTTAACTCCTCCCTCCCTTCCTACCTTTCCCGACCCCGCAACCCTTTACCAAAAGCCCTTGTAGATCTCTCGAGCGATGCAGAGGGCATAGTAGCAGCTATACTCCTCGAACTGCTATACGCGGCCTCAGCAGCAGCCGCCCGAGCCATAGTCCCAACCGCCTCGATATCGACCACCCTCCTTCGGCCGCCGATCCTCATTCCTTCATTCCTCCTATCCCGAACTGATAGTCGTGCTCTTGGAGATATGTCCAAATCATCAGCCATCATAACATCATCCCGGGACTCCCTTTCAAGTGGTTCACTGATATCAGACTTCACCGAAGACTCCCGGGATCTCGGGGAATCTCTAGAGCGTCTCTCTGTCCTCCGCCGTTTATCAGAGTCTGTCCGGTCCATTAGTCGATTCCGACTTGAGCTCCCAACCGGACGCTTTGAATTACTCCCCAGAATCTGCTGCTGCTGCTCCTCACGCGGGGAGGACCGATGTTGCCATTCAGTTGGGGTTCTAAAGACTTGGTCATTGGGGGTTGTTGACTTGCTAGGAGGGTGAGGAGGCGCCCACGGGCTCGTATTCAACGGCCGTAAACCCTCTGTGCTTCCCTTCACGAGGCCAGCCTGTGTCGGCGAAGATGCAGTCACCGCGGCCGCTTTCGCCTTAGCCTGAATGCACAAGTAGTAAGGAGTATTATTCGGAATAATATTTAGGATCCCCAAAATTAATGGAGTTTCACAGGCCGTGACATCAAAAACATATTTCACGACTACTGCATATCACCGCGAATATTGCGTTTTTCACAGAGTATTTCGCCACTTCACGTGAAACGGGTTATGAAACCTCCGATATTAAACTGGAGTTGAATAATATCAAAGGTTGTCAATATCAGAAAATAATCTACCACCCCAAAAGCCTTACTTGAAATCCTGCTAACTTCTCCTTCAGAGCGGCCATACTAGCCTCTGTTCGGCTCGGGGTGCCAGACGGAGACTTGCCCCCACCAGATGCCGTCACTGCCTTCGGGGTTGCTTTACTCTACACCAAGATGAATTAGAGTATGAAGAATGATCCCATCTTACCGTAGCAGGGGTGACACTCCCTGGTGTCACAGGGCTCGCCGCAAGCGTAGAAATACTACCCTTCCTGTTCGGTGTCACCATCCCCTTAGGTAGCAACATCGACCCAGATGTTGGGCGATACGAAGACGGTACTGAATTCACACGAGGAATCAGGAGCAACTACGGAAGCTACCATCTTCCAGTGGTTCGATATAACCACTGATACACGCACTTACATCTCTTCCTTCTCGTAAAAGGGCCTATCTTACCCTCTGGAGGGGTACCCTGACCGCTAGCATCAGGTTGACCATTAATACTAGGCCGTCCAATATCGTAGGACAACAGCTCTGAGGTGTAGTAAGTAAATCTGTTCTTCATCCAGGGCGGACAGAGAACCTATTATAAACCACCAGCATTTCGCAGTGTAGGAGTAAATGTTTGCTTTCCTCGACTGAGCCCATGAGTTTTCTCACTACATTATGGAAATTCATAATTTCTCGAATTTTTTCCTCATATTTTCCATATTTTTACCAACACATGTAGTTGACCATGTGCATACTATGACGAGACGATCTCATGCACTACCTCCGGTGGTGCCCACAGCCCCAGCTCCTCATCTCCGTCATCTGTGATGAGTACATCTTCGGGTACTTCAAACTCCAAGGAATTCCAATCTATACACCTAGACCGCCGAAAATTATATCTTCTCTCTAGTGTAGTCCTTACACTCCATCAGAATATCCAAACCGGAACGACCAGTCTTCCTTCCTCTTCCCTCGGGTGAGCATCTCTACTGAGCCCAGGAACTAAACAGGAACACTCCCTGAGAATAGTAGCTCGCACTGGTTTAATATAAAACTTGAGTTCTAGCCATGTGTTTCCCCTTATCCCTAGTGTTACCTCGAAACTCAGTATGTCATCCCCAGTTTCCGGATCGTAACCATCTCCCCATGGTCCTGATAACAACACCAGTACGACAGCTGTGAGGGTGAGAACCTTCACAGTACTTGCTTTAACAGCATCCACATCGAAGCGAGGTTTCAGATCGACCACGGGCGCCTTGTCACCCGAGTAGAGTCCACCAGCAGTAACGAACTCCTGACAAGCACTCACTCTTGAGGTAGCGGACGAGCTCATCAGTAGATCAGAGTAGTGCGTCGCGCATTTTGTGGTATTGTAGGCGAATACGAGCGGAAAATATACAGGGTTGCCCTATTGATATGTGCTAGTGAGGGATAGCTCATTGGAGAGACCTTGGCGAGCTTTTTTTCTTCTCCGGATATGCTTAGGCCCTGCCGAGCTACGCACAATTTATTTTCGCAAAATTGCCCAAAACCCGTGCGAAAAGTCAGGCCGATTTCCTCCTAGTGATTCAACGCAATATGGCACTGAGCATCATGAGAAATTTCAAGATACCCTTGGAAAGCGCTTGCCAGAACCATTCTCACTAGCTATCTCTCAGTGAGAAATTCGATGAATTCTGCAAGTTACAAACAATAGCACATTTTCATTTGGGTCACCCTGTAGTATCCTAGATGCTTTCCCCAACCAATGCACTAAAGATGATATCAACCATATATTGTATAATCTCGAGGGAACATAATCATAATACACCCCACCCGAATACGCCTCCCCATACTACTACCCTCAGCAGACTAGTAGACTCCGGTGATGCGGAATCTTCCAAACCCTCACTCTTTGAACAACGATAGAGTTGTAGGTCAGTACATGGTAAAATAGTCTGACATATCAAGATGATCGATACAGGAAAAGGGTAGTAATTGCATTACTCTAAAACACAGCGAATTAAAGTTCTTCACTTCATCGTAGTGACCCTTCCTATCCATATTCCTTATAGGAACATCGCGTATCAACGGCTCGTAATACCACACCGACCTGAAGAGACGTCAAACATGACCAAGCCGCTGAGTACTGCCTTTACAATCATAACTACAGCATACACATATCAAAACCTATCACTCGAGGCAGCGAACCCAAAGGGGTTATAAGTATTACCGTTTATTAGGGTCAACTTCACTCTTAGCAGATAGGCGTCGCTGCTCAGACTCTTGCCAGGAATAATAGCAGTTGTTGCAGTGAAACCTAAAGCGGTTAATAATTAACTCAAGAGTTGGACAAGGACTAAGCGATGATGTTATAACAACACTAGTTCACAGCTCTGGCAGTATACAGGAGTGAGCCAACGAGTCGTGAACTGAACGTCAGTACTGCGCGCCCAGATAGAAATTGACACTAATTGACAAAGTTATCCTTTTATGGAGGACCCGAGAGTTACCAGATTCCACACCGAGTAGTGCTGTATAACAGTTCGGAAGATTATTCCTTGTGTGAACACCTTCAATGCAAGTACATCTAGATTTTTTCTGGAAATTCGTAATTTACTTCTGTTCAGAATATACACGGCATCGACGAATTCCCGAGTGTCCAACAACTTCATAATGGAACTACGAATACCGAGAGTTATTTCCAATTATTCGCCAAGTTTTACAAGATTAGATATTTAGTTACTATTATATTTAATATTTCCAATATTTAATCAAGTTTTACATACCACAAAGATTAACCTTTTCCCACCAATTGAATAGAGTTTCACCCGTTTTACGTGAAGTGGCGGAATACTAGGTGGAAAAGGCGAGTAAAATATGTTTTTACTAGTGTTTTTCATATCACTAGGGTGGTGAAACTCTAATGTGAGAAGTGGTTGTCAACGTCCCAAGTAGTACAGTATCCCTGTTCCTGGTTCATGTACTTCAACTCCTTCATACAAAATGTCCATAAAGTAGAGACCGCATGTTGCACATACAGACATTATTCACGAACCACTGGAGCTTCTGGAATGAGGAACCAAACGGCACGGGTCACAGATGTTCATGAACGAGTCTAGACTATCGCGCGCGCCCAAGTAATCGATAATATTTACTACGGTAACATACGATGGCTCGACCCGTTGCAAGCCGACGCATGAATAGCTAGTGACGCTGTGGCACCTTCAGAGTGTGGTATCAGCTAAATATGTTGTATTTATGGCTTGTGTTTGGTAAACGTACAACTGCGCCCATGTGATCGATTCACACATACAACCCTGCCGTCTCAACCCCGCTGTCTAAGCAGAGACGGATTAGGAAATCCCGTTCCCGCACTATGTTAGCTGGAGAGGCATTTTGGGAATACCCATGCTGATGGACTTTTTGAGTTGAACAACTTTACATATAATCAAAGAATTTACGTCTTGTGCGAAAAAATAGACCCCATTCTTGATCCTCCCCGTCGTCTGCTTTCTCAAGTATCGTGGATACGGAATAGCACTGTTACACTCTATTCCCTTTAATATTCTTCTCATGTGACGTATACGGCCAATTACAGCTGCTAACTAACCTGGTAGCAACTACTAGAGTGGTGACATCCATCATTATATGTCAAGTCGTATTATAGTCTCACCTCGTGAGTCGCTATCTCGAGCCCGTTCATAGCCACCATGAACTCGCATCGAAATAGGAACGTCAGTCGGGGGTCTATGGACAAGAACTGCTGGGCTGTGTATTATGCGCCGTTGCTCAGTGGATTGTGTTATTGTCTACTTAGCGCAGCTCTAGCTTTCCTCAACCCCTCCGACCTACCTCCACCACTCATCTCATATTTATTTCTATCAAACCATGTCTTCATCCAACAAGGCTCTCCAATACTGGCTTTCCTTAGATTTCTATAAGGCCACTCGTGATGAGGCTTCGTCCTTCTCTGAGGAGGATATCGCCGAGCACTTGAACCCCGAGAAACGTTTGGTCTTCGGCACTGCTGGTCTCCGTTCTCGTATGGGTGCTGGTTTCGATCGTATGAACTGCCTTACTGTGATGCAGGCCTCTCAGGGTCTCTGCAGATACCTCGAGGGTCAGTTCGGTAAGGAGGCCCTTGCTGAGCGTGGTGTTGTCTTCGGCTTTGATGGTCGTTACAACTCCAGACGTTTTGCTCACGTTGCCGCCGCTGTATTCCTCTCCCAAGGCGCTAAGGTCTACTTGTACGACAAGGCTACTACTTGCACTCCATTTAACCCCTACTTGGTTAAGAAGTACAACTGCTGTGCTGGTGCCCAGGTTACTGCTTCTCATAACCCCAAGATGGATAACGGTTACAAGGTCTATGCTGCTAACGGTGCTCAGATCATCCCTCCTATGGACAGTGAGATTTCTGATTCTATTGCTAAGAATCTCGTACCTTGGAAGGAAGCTCTTGAGCTTCTGGATGTTGATGGAGAGTGTTACCTCAAGGACACGTCTAAGATCATCGATCCTTATGATGATGTCCTTATGACTTACCTCGACCAGATGTATCATGAGCTTTGCCGTTTCCCCGAGGAGAACAAGAAGTGTACTTTGAAGTTCGCTTACACCGCTATGCATGGTGTCGGTCTTCCCTTCACCACTGGTCTGTTGAAGAGATTCAACATTCCCGAAGAGTGTGTTAAGGTCTTCGAGCCCCAGGCTCATCCTGATCCGGAGTTCCCTACTGTGCCGTTCCCCAACCCTGAGGAGAAAGGTGCGCTCAATCTGTGTCTAGCTTTCGCCAAGGAGAATAACTGCGATTATGTTATTGCTAATGATCCTGATTCTGATCGGTTCACAGCTTGTGAGAAGCAGAAGAACGGCGAGTGGCATCAGTTCAGTGGTGATGAGCTCGGAACCATCTTCGGAGATTTCTCGATCTTGATGGCACTTCGTAGTGGCGTCCCGGCCGAGAAGTGCTTGGTTCTCAACTCTACGGTGTCTTCCAAGATGCTCGCTGCTGTCGCTAAGCACTATGGTTGCCGTTATACCGATACTTTGACCGGTTTCAAGTGGCTTGCTAACACTTCCCTCAAGATGATCGAGGAGAACCCTGAGCTAGTCCATTGCCTTGCTTACGAGGAGGCTATCGGTTACGCTCTCACCATGGCTGTACCCGATAAGGATGGTGTCACTGCTGCCTCTGTGTGGGCTGAAATGGCCAACTACTGGCGTCGTGAGAAGGGTATTACTCTCTACGAGCGTCTTGAAGAACTCCGTCAAACTGTTGGTTATTTCGCCAACAATAATGGTTACTTCTTGTGCTACGACCCTAAGGTTATGAAGCAGATCTTTGACGATTTCCGTAACAACGGTGCTTACGCTAAGACTTTGGGTTCATCTACTATCGCTGGTATTCGTGATGTCACTCTTGGATATGATTCAAGAATGGATGACAAGAAGAGTGTTCTCCCTACTACTCCTGACCAGCAAATGATCACTCTCTACTTCGATAACAATGCCGTTGTTACTCTTCGTGGTTCTGGTACCGAGCCCAAGCTGAAGTACTACTGTGAGATGTCCGATAGGGAATCCGAGGAGAAGGCTGCGGCCAACTTGGATGTCGTGGTTAATGATGTCATTAACAACTTCTTGCAACCCGAGAAGAACGGTCTTGAGAGACGATAAATTAGGTTGTTTATCAATAGGATTCATTGGTTTATCGAATGCTCATCATACCCAGGGAGTCTGGGTGTGTTAGTATTCTTCTCGTACCACCTGCTGAACTAAACTATCTAGCATCGTTACAGATATCATTGTTTATGATAATCTCTGCTAGGCTGAGAATTATCTAAATCATCATCTTATTACTACCTCGTTGTGAAGTAAATTCCACCAATATCTGGCTAAATTTATGTATCCAGTGCAGCCTTACTAGAGTTGTGTTTCCTAGTCAATAAAGCATTGCTCTTTTGCTTCAATTGTTGCGATGCAACACGAGTCAGCTAGGATTAGTATAGTCTGAACTTCTCGTGAAAGAACGCTTCGTCTTTTGGTGACTTTTTGACGACTTGGTTATCCATCGCACCATTTAGTGTAAATATTTTGTGTGCAAACTCCAGAAACCTGAGGTTTAACACCAAGTGGAACTTCTAAGCTTTAACACGAAATGTGCGAAATATCGATACATTTCTTTTTGACGTATGATCGAATACAGGGTTGTCCTTCACTTCTGTTTAGGCTATTCGCACACTGCAAGCCTAACTTTTCGTTTACTTTAGAATTCTCGCGCATATCTTCGCAGGCGTGTAATATGGCTTCTGTTCACCTAACCATATCCATGCGGAACTATCAGAGATGAAGGTGATTCTACTCTAACCCTATCACACGAAATTGTCTAAGAAATGTTTTGGGTCTCGAATGCTGCTAACAAGTGATCCAAACGGGATTCTTACTATACAGTCCTTAAATCGAGGTAGGCTCGATAGTTTTATACACGTAGTAGTATACGACATTACTAGCAAAAACTCAACAGTGGCCACACTGTGGCGATGTTTTGAAACTTATGGTTCATCAACAATCAGTGGTAACAATCAATAGCTACCGGTATTTACTGGTCATCACTTTTCACTCAGATGTGTCCATAGGAGCTGCACCACTCGTTTCGGCCTAACAAATTAAAACGCTGAGACGGCCCGAATGAGCAACACGAATGACTCACCTGGGTCTGATCTAGATTGCTGATGAGACTCTGCAATTCCTCGGTGTTCAGCTCCTTGAAAGGTAAGTCCTCCCCCACAATGGCGATGCTACAATTCTCGGTTGTCAGCCTATCACAATGACAATTTGAGTATCAACAATATAGAGATACGCACTTAGCATCATCCTGGAGTGTCTTGGCTAGAGCCTTGAGACCATGCATAAGGAGCTCCTTCTGATCCTCGATATTCTCGAAACCTTCATAGTTATTCTCCAGATAAGTTCTGGCAGACTGGGAGCGACCACCAATGGCCATCGCGTAATACCTGACCACACTCTTCAGAAAGCTTAACATATTATCATCGCGCTACTCGAAGATGTTCCCACTAGGGCATGTCTCATAAATGTGGGGACCGTTCTCATCGTAACCCGCAACCAGAAGGCCAACACCGTAGGGGCGCTTACTCGCCACCTGGGTCTTCTCCTGTGATTCTGAATATGAATAATATTGGTATGAGAGCGTAGTCATTAATCTCATATACTCACCAACACCGATCTTGTTGACCAACCTTCCGACGCTCATCGGCGTGTCGTAAGTGAACTTGTGGGATAAGCACTCATCACGCATGAAGGAGCAAATTACACCTGTGAACACGACCTGACCAGCATAACCACGATTGATACCTACGGGCATCAGCAGTGAGGCCAGATATAGCAACACCGATATGGTCGTCGATGCGGAATATTTTCTGCTGGTAGGAGGCGAGATCAGACTGTCTCCTTCGGAAGGCACACAAAATCTGCAAAAGAAACAGTCAGACTCGGAATTTATGTTTGGATTCCTCAGCTGAGCTCAGGAGTTTCCTCTATAGAACTGTGCAAAAATCAACGAGAATTTCCTGAGAATTTTCTACTGTCATCAACACATGTAGTTGACCACGTTTTCCCCCATTGCAAACAATAAGTAGCTTAGAAGCCTCACCGCGTGTTTCTTTCCTCTGAGAGCTACTACAGCAGTTCCCTGCTTCACCGCTTCCATAGCATACTCGATTTGGAATATACGACCTTGGGGTGACCAAGTGATGCAGTCGGTGTCATAAGGGTTACGGAACATCTCCAGAGGATACAGAAAAAAGTGACTACATAAGAATGGCTCGCACAAAGTGAGAACTCAAGAAACAGGAAATGGTAACCGAATATGAACCTTGCATCGGCGTGTGCATGCGTGCAGCATGTGCCCCACTCCTGTGAAATCATGAGCGACCCTGGGAAATCAACTTCCATGATTGTCAAGCACGAGTATATGTACAAGGTCCTCCTCCACCATGCTCGATAGCTCTGCAACATTCCTTATAATGAGGGATATAATAGAATAATACAAACATCATATTGAGATTTTTATAAATTGATATTTCCTAAATAATACCATATTCCTGTGATCAACTCCATAATATATACTTATACCAGTTCTAATATTGATAGATTTACTACACTGTTCTACCTTATTACATCCCCTACATTTCCTACACCTCCTGGACATGTGTTCATATGCCTTCTGATCCTGATAGCGGCTTATTACCCAACAGTGAGGATATATAATATCCTGCTTTGGGAACAACGATCTACTGTGAAAAGACAAGTACCACATTCTACCTTCCTAGCCAGCCACAATTACTCGTACTCCTCGTCGATCTCATCGACCACTCTCGGACGAATACTACCACAAGTTCACTTGAAACTCCACCGTGAAGATAAAACTCCATGATCATCACCATACTCTTAGCTTGAACCACTACTACCGACGAAGGCAGCCAGAGAGATCAACACGGACGGCTCCAGACAACTGCAAGGGCTCACGAGAATCTTACCGGGCATATAGTCGATGATGACCATCCCTTTCTCACAAGCCTTCTCCTATAGACCCCCGATGTTGCTTGGAGAGGGTTCGATGGTAACTCACAGAGCAGCAACGAGACGCGGTTTGAAGGGCCTAGAACTTCAACACCATGGCGTCGTCTAGTGGTCACAATATCCTTATTGTCACCCAGATGCCGCATATCATCTGAATAGATATCTGCATGTCAATAGTCGAATTACACTGTGCCTTGCAAATCAATACCATCTTAGAGAATACCCCGCGGAAACTACAGTGTGCCATCCCCTAGTGACCGATCGTCCGAGCCGTCCACATGACTACTCCATTTCCCTTTTTGTCCGATGTTACACTTCAACTACCCGCTAGGATCTTTACCTCTCCCAGCCTGGAAGGACTCGATAAACTTTGAATGTTGTGGAGGTTTTGTAAGAAGAGTTATCGTGTAAGGAATATGTGTTCTTCCGTGTAAACCACAACCATTGGGTCCAAACAGCCATTTCCGATCGAACCGCTGTTACATACCGGAATACCAAACCGGCATCGTAGGATTCCTAACAAAGTCCGCGCAAGTTTTCCCTTTGCTGATTCAACCATCCTCTGATAGGAAATCGATAAGAATGGCGTGCGCGAGTGAAAACGGTTTTCTGGCATTTCCTCATAGGCCGGTGGTATTTCGCAGTATCATCCAGACTATTGGATATTGCGCCATGGTGATAGAGCTACGTTAAGGGATTCCACTTTCAAGCGGGAGTTGGACGAATACGGGAATCGGCCTTCACTGTTTATTTGTGCGGCTTTCGTGAGCAGGATGATCCTGCCAGGATCAACAAGATGCGGACTAGGGACATCGTATTTGGCATAAAGACACGCGTATGGGTGTTGATCGATCATGTTGTACTGCTCGTTGGCCACCCGGGATACAGCCTTTCGTGCTTGCTGAAGGCTTTTTTGGGTGGTATAGAATGAGAGTCGTACGATTATTCAGAATTGGGTAGACTCTTTCCTGCTGTAGTGAAAAATGGTGCAGCTGATAGCTACACGGATTACGAAATGTGTTTAGAGATGGCGGTCCGTCATTGGCGGAGGGTTTTCGATCCCTTCAGTTTACACCCGATTACATCCTTTCGATATTACGACTTAATTCCTCCGCCCAGCGGCAGAAGGGAGATCAGATCTACTGGGACGGGAGATTTACGAGTTATGTCTTCATTCACGTCTTCCCCACGGGATGTCTTCATTCTTCCGACATCGACTTGGTCGCCTATGTATTGGGTTGCGCTCGCTGGTGAGCGTCACCGAACGAACAATGCGGTCGAAGCGTTGCATTCCAGTGTGGGGAAATATGCACGAAGCTAGCTACATATGTAGCTGAGGAGCACACGAGATGTGAGGAAAATTTGTTCTGGACTCTGGGGACAGATGTATCATCGGTTAAGGCCGTCCCAATAACGATCAGCCGTGAAAACCTTGCACGTTTCGAGAGACAATTCTCAAGCTTAGCCTTTGATCCCACTACATAAATGCAAATATAGTTATCATAACAACAGGAGTTTCAGAGGGATCCTCATTAAGGTTAGACCTTAACTGGCAAATCTCATGTGCGATTGCACCACTCAGCTTAGTAGCCGATCGCTCTGCACGCGTGCTGAAGGTGAAACCGTCAATTCCACGGCGTGAACCTCGCGGCGCCATCGCTACGAGCTGATACGACTCTTATCATGAGGGATTAGGGCACTGCCAGAATCTGCCAGATTCTGCCCGATCCAAGTGGTTTGCACTACGTGCGAGAAATACAAGTACATGGCATTTTACGAGGGAGATAGCTTCCGACGGAAGCCTTCCGTAGATTCGAAAGGAATCTGATGGCTCTCGCTCTGTCTGGTGCTCCTGTTGGTGATCTCAATCACTCTCGAAAGTAACTTTCGAGGAACTGTTCCTCTCTTCCTATGCCACTGCTCTCAGGATCCCTGAGAGCAGTGGAGTTAGGGATGGGGCTCCTGAGTCAGGGATGAGCTTCTGGCACGGCTCAACTACATCTTCACCGAGTCATGCTTGTATTTTGGAAGCAGGCCATGCCCGATCGGGACGGCTACCGACAAAGTCACCCTAGGAAGGCGAACTTCGCAGGCGGTCTCTGTAAGTGCATTGATCGATGGCAAGATAACTGCGTAATTGATTGGGGCACCCCCCGCAGTCGATAAATCTGCTGCCGATTGAACACAATTGTTGCTCCAGACAATGGAGGAGGTCGGAGTTCCCAAGGGTTTTACGAAACAGAACTGCGTCAGCCTGTCCACGGACGGAGAATACTTGAAGTACTTCTAGGGTGGCACGCGGAAGTACGGAAGGAAATTTGAAGTTTGAAGGAAAAATTAGAGCTGTCGTTGGAAATTTCTTGATTGATTCTTTAATGTCTGCATTTATTCGTTACCATCACCACTTCTGACTCTGTTCTATCGTCCCCATCATGTATGCCAGTCTTATTTTTTCTCGAATGAGGGGATTGTCAAAACTTTTGCGCTCATATCAGCAAGAAACGCAGACGGGAACACTGACGAATCACGATGCGAAGCGAGGTGCAAACCTCGGTCTGTCCGTAACGGCGATTAATGATCCAGTCAGAGCCTCAGAGTCTAAGCCTGCGGCCGGTTACAGAACCACTGCCTGCGTCAGGGCTACCTAATAGGTGAAGTGTCAACATAGCATACTCCAAAACAAACGGATAGGTAGTATTTATCCGTTTGTTTTGGAGTATGCTACGTTGATATTTCACCGTGCTGTGCTTGTGGGAATGCAGCATTTCCCCACTTGAATGAAGTGATCATGGTGCGAACTTCGCATTGCGAAGTGCCAGGTTTGGGCCAAACCTGCGAGTTTCACTGACTTTCTGGCGATTTCCCGGCGAGCGGACTTGGCGGACAATTCCGTGCAGATTTCAGCGGATGCGCTGAATTCCGCACGGCGAGCCGACCAGCTTGGCGAAATCCCGTAGAACCCTGGCCGTATCACGCATATCGCCAAGTTGTTCAAATTTCCTAGATACAGGGACTCTCCAAAGTTGGTGAGTTGGCGAAACCAGGTGTTCCGTTTCTGGGAAACAAATGACCTGGTAGATCTTCTTTACAATGAAGCACCATTGGATTAAGGTCCCTGAATGCTTCAAAATGGTGCCTGAGCTTGTCTAGTATTCGCACGCATTGAGAAACCACGACCACCTTGTATGTTCGATATAGTAGTTGTTGTACAAAGCCTGATATATTATCCAACATTAGAATTCACTAAATCCGAATAGTATTCGGCAAATACCACCATCGCTCGAGATGGGTCGAGAGAGCTGCTGGAGTAGAGATATCCTGGCCGATACTATTAATTCACCACTCAACATGGGAGGCGTAAATAGACAATGATGCTGAGATTGAAGTAAATTATGAAAGACTTTGAGGCTGCTCACGGAACGAGCAGAGGAACACCGTTCGGAATCACTACAAGGGCGGCAACGGCGCACAGGCATTGCATCAAATGTACAGATATCTATAACGGCCTTTGATCCAATGATTCAAAGAACACAGCCTCCCATCACGAAAGTGGATTCGCTTCGTCAGGTGATACATACACCTGGGTGTGGCGTTGTATCTATAACATCATGATGAATTATCGGACCTGCTACCCATAGGCACTCACAAAATCGGCAATATCCGACAACGAGCGATTGGGAGCCTCATCTGGCCCACAGCAGAAGCTGAACAGCTGGAACACATGAACCTGATAAATCGACATAGCAATCAGTTCAAGTTCATACTTCAAGTCTGGGCCCTCCCTTCCATCACTGTGGGACAAGCCACCGACGTGCTCTCGATAACACGAATTCCAGTCCTACTCACGTATCGACTACGGTGGAATGTTGGAACATTCTTCTCAGTACATTGAGTAACTAATCCACTATCGATGCTGCTATCGAGTACTACCATATCCTCAAACTCGCGGTATTGAAGTTCGACGCTCTCCGACTTCTGAGCTGAAAACTTAGCTGCAAAGCGTTCGATTTGGGGGAGGAGGAGCTCAGCTTGCCCTGCATGTATCTGTTACAATACCAACATAGAGGGATATGTGCTTATGGTAACCAACATCACCAGCATGTGAGGCAAACCCCTGAGATCAGCATACATGGCCGAGATGCGTGGATCGTCTGCAGAGATGTCACCAATTGCAAGTTGCGCGAATTCAACCACCTGGAAATGAGTCCCCCACGATGAAATACACACAACGAGTCCTCACCAGGTCTGCTGGGATGTAATCAACGCAGGTGTATGAAGATACACCGTCATTGCTCGAACGTCGTCGTCGTCCACCACTAGACTTCCGTCGACCTCTGCTAGTTACGCTCTCTGATCCAGGAAGTTTCTGAGGAATTCGTCATAGTTGAATTAGGTATGATCCTATACGATCGATGTACAGTGTTTATATATTACCCTGGGAGTTTGCTGGGGAGTCTGTTCGAAGTAGTCAACTTTATCAGTCAAATCTACCCAAGGAGATAGCAGACAGGCACACCCTGGGAGAGGAATCTGAAACATGACGCTAGGCTTCCTGATCAATTTTGCCAAACTCTCAGGATCTCACCCGTTTATCCCTGAGTTGGACTAGTGCAAGTACGACCATATCGCCACCGGCTGAGTCGCCAGCTATGGCGATGCGCTCAGGCGAAACGCCCATGTTCGATATCAAATAACGATACCTGTGATGATAAGAATAGCAGATGTCGTTCGTAAGCCAGCACTGCTCACATGCACTCTACATCCGAGGTCGATTCTATGAGCGTACTCTCGGGCGGTTGTCGATAGTTAACACAGCACCTGCATAAAGACTGCTCATAAGCTCGACACATGTCATTCTCACAAGATGCAGTTCTCAGTCTTCAAGGCGAGGGTGTACAGGAGGTGGCGATGTGTGCCAGTACTACATAAACAGAAGCCACCACCATGGACGTATCTATTCAATGACCACAGTCTGGGTATAAGAATACGGGGATTTCCTATACTACAAAATGACCGTATTTCGTTGTAGCTCCTCCTTAGTGGGGCAGTCCTTGAGGACATGACTACTCTGATCCCGTTCTGGTGTGACACGTTTCGGCCAAATCCAATCTATGAGGACAGTATGCATATGAGCCGCTGTTGTAGGAGTGCATACCTATCTTAACAGGTTGGTGTAGTCGATTGTCCGAATCACGTTCTTGGAAAGCTATGTACTGCTTGCATCGAAACTAAGGGGAAAGTAGTAGTGAATAATCACAAGTGCATCGCCCTACCACACCACTAGGGAGGAGGACGTTGGGTATGGTCGTATTAGCGATGGCTCGGACCGCTCGCAAGTCGTGCCGAGGTGCGTTCTTACCAGCTGATCTCATCACACTGATATACCTGAATCGATTCGGTGTTGGACTAGGCCTCAAGCACCTCCCTTAGCACGTTTCCATTTGGGTGTTCCACGTTCTCCTCTTCGGTTTACGAAACATTCGACGAATGGGAACCTGATTATTCAACCACATGTGCAGCTCCCATACCGCCCATTTGCCAACTTCTGAGTATTCACCTTCAGACTCGTGGCAGTAGTGTTATGCCATAGTCTTTTCACGGGAACAATTCTACGCAAAATCGACTTGCCACAGAGATTAGAGATTTTTACTTAGAGTTTTCAGTTCTGAATATTCAAGCTAACGCGATAGAGTTTATAATTAGCCATGGGCGTGGTATGACCTTCATCATGACACCTGCAGCCCTGGGGGCCAGAGTCAAGGACCGCCAACTCTCCCCCCATGTCATCTGCTTCTTTATCTTCTTCTCCACCTCTACTGGATCCTCTCCCAATGAGGGTAGCCCTAACAGCAGGATTAGATCCCCCCAGTCGGCTCGGTAGTACCACTCTCGTTGGCAGACGATTCGCTAGGAGGAGGCATCACTGGTACCGCGCTCACCGGGCTCGGCAAGTGGTTCGAGCCTTCTCCCTCATCATGCCCATTCCCGGTCGTCCCCCCATTTTCTATTCTCCCGACACCTTCAACGGATACTCCTACAACAACTCGCCCCTCAGAAGGCGTGTCTGTTGAAGCCGGTCCCTCCTTGTCTGAGCTTGCACCAACGTCAGCGTCCTTCTCATTGTCACCTCTCCCTCGTGCTTGCTCCGCCCCAGTGTCATCCGACGATTGGTCCTCCCCATCATGTGTTTTCTGGCCTTCACCCTCCCACGATGGTGAACTAGTATCAGACATCCCTTCGACGGCGGCCTCTTCCCCCACTCGTTTAGCATCATCTACACTGTCACAGTCGTGGAAGTCGGCCTCATCAGGAGAGCTAACCCCTACTGGGTCAACTGATACTGGTGCTGACATTATCAACAACAACCTAATCGATGTTAAAATACTCTGAAGAAGAATCATAGTTTGAGGCGCGCGCTGACTGCTCGAGCTGGGACGAAAAGCGTAAGATATGATTGTTTGGGTCTGATACTTGAGAAGCAACTTAGAGAGTAAACTCGAGAAGTGCTCAACTCCACTACGTTAAGGAGCTCCTCAACTCAAGGTGAACTGTAATAAGAAAGGGACTATTATAGGGACAGGCCTATTATTCTCATATCTCGTCAGTTTCTAGTCGCAGGAGTCTTGGTGACCCTTCCATTATTTGGTTCTTCTTCCTTGATCATATGCATCGTGATAAGATGAGTCAAGTCTTCCGATTAAGGTTACTAGTGCGGTATGTTTAGTAGCTGCCGCTGGCTATGGTGCTTATAAGATCTACCAAAACCAATGGAATGACCTCCATTATGGGGGTGATGAAACACCACCTAACACGCCCGTAGATCAAGTTGAAGATCTATCGAGGGTAGAAAGTGCATCCTCGGATCAGCTAGAGGCAGCTCCTACTCCACAGGAGATATTCCATGCACCTAAAGAGCCCTCAGTAACAGAGTAGGGTTTGCTTTTCGACACGTGAAACAACTATCAAGTGCTTTATCGTTTGTCTGAATGGTTGTTCTACTAGACTCGTAAGGTTTATACTTGTATAACTTGCTCAATTAGCTCAAGCATGTCCAGAGCTGACATGTTCCGGGGTCTCGGGCTACATGAACCAAGCCTTCACTGATGAGAAGGAAAATGATATGGCCAACAAGTTGGCTAGAACCTTCAAAGGGTGACCATCTCTTGAGATGTCGGCATGTTGTATATTGTCGATTGTTTTCGGCATTCTGAGATTCGCATAGGGAGGATCCTCAGAAGCGGCCGCCGAAGTATTCATTTGAGTTACGTCTGAGTTACGGTCGAGAATGTGCAGTTTCCTACCAAAAGGTGGACCCAGAGGCTCGGCTTGCTCGCATAACGATGTGCTTCAGGCGAGGCAGGTCGAGTTCTTCGCCTCTCGTTTGTAGCTCTTCGAGCAGCAAATAGAGCACCACGCCTTTGATCGTGAGACCTCCGTGCAGGTAGACAGTAGCTTACGCTGTGGTCCTTAGCATCATAGCAACTCATTGTGATAGTAGTATCAGTGATTATTCTCAGCGATTTGGCTTATGACTTGAAGCATGAACGCTGACCGCATAGCGAGGGAGGCGTTGTTGGTGCCTGTATTGCCTTCTGTTAGGATGCTTGGTGTTGTGGTTGATGTATCGTTTGGAGTCACCAGCATCTCATAAGAAGACGGTTGAGTGGTACGAGGAGGATATAATGACGAAACCCTCTCTAAATGAATATGCTTCTGCTGAGGTTGGAGTATTCCACTCTCGCATTTGTGAGGCTATTGATGTTGGGGAGGCTCTGAAGGGCTCCCATGAGGAGATAGTCTATTCTAGTCTGTAGCTATTGAAGGCGAAGATATTGAGGGCAAGAGTGTAACGTCTCCTCCTTTCATGATCGAGGCGTCGCTCGACGGTTCTGGCAACATTGCCTGAGGAACAGCATCCGGGGAGACAGCCTAGGAGTGGGAAGGCTAGTCTGAATCTCCATCGTGCGAGAGGCGAAGATGATACGATGTTGTTGCATGAAATCATTACTGCTATGTGGTGTATTCATTGGAGAACCATGGGAAGCAGGTGGTAGGTAGGATTGGGTACCCGAGCTGAGCTTAACGATAACGGCAAGATAGACAAGATGGTCGTTCGATGTGTGTGTTAGTGTACACACCGTATTGGGAAAAATACCGAAATCGGGTAGTTCTAAACTCCCCTAGATATGCATCAAGATCGAGTTTTTCTTGTGAATATCACAAGTGGACGTGGCGCGAATACAATGCAACACCGAGGAGGGTTAACAATCGCTCTATAGAGATTCCGCAGGTTCGGTATGACGTTGTGTTGATCGACTTTTCTCATGTCTCACGAATGCTTCGTTTCGCCTGATACATAGTGTTTCATTTGTCGTTGTATCCTCGTTGGGCCTGATGCCTCCCCCCAGCTTTATTTTTCTCACTTTGAGTCGGCATGGGGAGCATGTTCAGCATGGTCCCTCGTAACTTCCAGTCGAACAAGAAGCTGGTCGTTGTTGGTAGGGATCGTCCCTCGGGTTAATAGTGCAATGGCGAACTCCCAGGTGGAGGTTACGCTGGACAGGGCGCTACTATCTTGGCACAAGACCTTTTCACAGGAGTTACCCAAATCGAGGCGCGCTATGCTGGTTTGGTGCATAAGGTGGGATTGCAGACTACTACGTTATGGCCTCAGCCTCAGCCTTTCTCAGATTGGTGGGGTCCGTGCCTGTGTCCGGCCAGAGTGGGGTAAGCACATGGTTATCCCGCAGAACACTCTGTTCAAGTCAAACGTACACCAGATCTTCAAACCGGTGAGAATAGCATTGGAAAACTGTTGTGGTTAAAGTCCCACCAGGCAGTCGGACTCGACGTGATGAATAGTTCGGTACTGGTGGAAGGAGGCCAAACTGTTCCCTATGATTATCTGATTATTGCTACTGGGGCTGTCAACACTAGTCCTGCTGATCCTCCTGTCAGTAGGTCTACACCTAGGTTTCTTATGTGAGCTGATAGTACTGCTCTTCAGCATACACTATGACGAAGCAGATTCTCGATTTCTACGAGGAGAGCGCTAAAGCCATTGAGGAAGCTCGAGACATCGTAAGGTTGTTGTGGTTGTAAAGCGTACTATCAGGACCATGCAGATGTTTATTGGTGGTGGCCCTGTGGCTATTGAGATAGCTGGGGAAATCAAGCAGAAGTATCCTAGCAAGAGGCTCAGTATCATCACCAAGGGGAACCGAATTCTCCAGCCTGGAGCACTCAAAGGCCATGAAGGGTAGCAGTATCATGCACTATGGTAGTCATTCATCCCGACAGGTTTTTGCCTTCGGAATTTATTTCCCAAGTCGAGTCAGAGTTGAAGGAGCTTGGTGTAGGCGCTGTGATAGTAAACGCTCCGTTGCTAATGTATTTAGTAGATCTATATACGGTCTGGAGTGACCACGAAAGATATTAATAGGGAGCAGTTCAAGGACAAACCTTTCATCAAGAGTATTACACCAATCTTAGAGTTCATTTCATCTTATTCTCGCCTTGTAGACCTCGGAGTTGTCCACTTCTCTGATGGCAGCTCTGCAAAACCCGAGCTGATATTCTGGTGTACAGGGTAAGTGGATATGATATGAAGCTAATGTATTGCCTGATTTGGACGTTAGGTCCGAACCTAACACCAGTTGGCTACGTGATAAGGCTGGTCTACCTGAGGATACTTTTGATCAACGTGGGCGAGTTATAGTCGATGATTTCCTCCATGTGAGAGTTGCCCCCCTCCATGTGACATCATGATGATGTCAGGTTACTGGACACCACAACATTTTCGCCATTGGAGACTGCAACACAGTGAGTGCCAGACATGGTCAGAGTTAGAGTGGAGTTTCCAGGTCAATGAAGAGAAGATGATGGCCACTGCTGGTACATACGTGGGAAAGCCACCCAACTGGCCGAAGGGTCAAGCTGATTCGGCTCTAGAGAACATAGTTCAACAAGAGCTGGGTGCATCGCCGAGAATGTAGTTTCCATCATCACAATGCAGCAGCGAGAATTGTATTAGTGCAGGTATCGACGTCCAGATATCATTCATATGGCGATAACGCTTGGTCATATGCGTGGAGTGACTACTGGGGTAGCAAAGGTCTACGTGGTTTAATGAGATTCTCGTTGCTTGTAGCTTCCTGCTCCAGCCGCTCAGCTGAAGAGTGAGCAGTTCTTCGTTGACCAGCAATGGCATTTGGCCAGGAAAGCCGAGCCTCATCTTTACAGGCTAGATCCTGCTGAAGAAACTGGCCATCACTGAGATTGACCTCATTATGTGGTGCTTTTCATTGAGTATATAACTCTGTACGTGTGAATTTGCTAGTTGGTATGTGGCGCATCGTCATTTTCTCCTGAAGTGATCGTAGTTTTTTCAGTGGTTGTGGAGAGTAATCATTTTGTTGCGCTAAGTGTCAAAAGCTCCTTGAGAATGAGTACTAGGATTGATGCTTCATCAGAAGCCTCACTGTGATGTACGTGTACATCCATACATTGAGATACATAGGCTGGCAGTAAACGTGATCCGAGCCAAAGTCCATACCTCTCCACACTGAGTAGTCTACCTTACTGGACAGATCGAAAGTCTGTTGGACTGCCAATATTCGTCTAGTGAGGGCGCGAGAATGGATTCGGCCTCCGACGCCTCCTCAAACATGAAATTTAGTAAGCACCTAAATCCTGATAAAATAGGTGTGAAGTCAGATGCTAGTCATGCCGACTACGACCGTTTACTCTAATGCTAATGATGTCGGATATCACTAAAATTGATTGAAGTAATACTCAATCAGTTGTGACATACGTAAGGTTGTTCTACAATGTATCAATATAATAGGCGTATTGTGGATGATTTCTGCGTTAACTTCGATCATCCTGCTACATAGACAGTTGAAATGTGAATAAGTGCGATCCCATGACTCTTGCGTGATGAGTGACACGCGAAATGTTCATGACCGCTAGTTTCGTTGTTAAGGGGAAAATGAGCATTGAGTGATACCCGCATCCGTCCGTCGCTCGCCGCAGCGAGACGGTGTTATAATGACTTTTTGAGCGTCTCATGAGTTTCCTTGTGGATTGTGAACATTCCGTGAACATAATGCGGGTGTGATTCCAGATAGATGCGACGGTGATTGAATTCTATGGAGTTGAAGTTGGGGGGATGTTCAGTGAATCCAATAACCTCATTTTACAAGTAGAGGTATCCTCAGGTTCACAATTAGTTTACTGAACACCTGATAAAGATTTGTTACTGGTCATTGAGTGGATCTTGCCAGTGTATCTTACAGCCATTTAAGGTCATGACCAGCACTTCGAGAGTATTGACTCTAGCAGTCCTATTCGCTACCTCGAACGGCAGGTTGATGGGCCCTGAATATCAGGATGAGGCTGTTGGGGTAGGCCCTTGATGCTAAGTTATGGGATAGCTAGAGGATATAGACTAGATGCAATTCAGTGTGGTTAACATCGATGCTTGGTGTTGTACTCAGCCCTTCCCACCTTACTACAGAGGCTATGTTGATGTAGTTGATAACACAGCTGAGTGCCTATTTGGACATGGTATGGGACAAGAAACCCGACTGGTGACTATTAATATTGGCATGAACTCCCCAGCAAGAACTACTGAGCTCATTTGTCCTTCGGTTCGCGGTACCCCAAAATTTCGAAGCATGTTGTAATAATACGTGCGATAGTTGGTCATTGGTGATAGTTGTCAGCTGCTGCTGCAGTTCTCAGTTATCGTGACGGGACTGTTAGGAAGATTGATGGCGGACGCGACCCTTTGGTGAAGACCTTCACCACTGATCCAGTGAGGGGTCTTAATGAACAAAAGTTGGAGCAGGAGAAGGAGGAATTCGACAAAGCTGTCCTCGCTTCATCAAAGAATATTAAACAATTCAGAAAAAAAAATCCAAGGGTTGAATTGTTTGATGAAGGAACCCTGAAGAAATTGGGTAAGAACGGTCTGAAGAGTAGGGAAATCATCAACAAACTTAATACCCTCTGCTTGGCTGTGGGACAAGCTCTGATCGAGACGTATAAGACTTTTGACAGAGTCTGCGAGATCCATCGCGAAACAGCTGGGCACGTCCGCAGAGGTGTTAGCCTTCAAACCGAGTAGATCTTCTCGAGGATCCTCCGTCATGTCATTCACATAATCTCTATCAAATGATCTATTTCAAGATGGCGTTTTTCAAATGATAATCTTAAATAATTGTTGAGAGGATACCTTGTGTGGATATATTATGGTTCATGATAACTGTTGTTGTGTAATGGCCGCTCAGGGGTTGTGTTAGTTCCTTCAAGTGGGGGATGCCTCCCCCGCTCATGCGTAACAAGGACAACCTGTTATAGGTATTCATTGGAATACTGTGCCGCGAGGATGATCTCAATATTGGATTCACCTGTGGCATAGTATAAAGTGATGTTTCTCGCCGTAGCCGTGCCATTATCGATTGAGTCTATACTAGGCCAATGTACGAGACTGTACGATGTATAGTCTGGTTGTTGATGCTGCTCGCCACGATATCTGATCACAGCATGCCGTCATTACCCTATACTCCTTCACTCAACTCTCGCCCATATCAAGGAAGCATACTAGATAGCCTAGTGGTGTTCGGATACCAATAAGTCGCCAATGAAATCTGATGACGCCAATTTGGGTTCGCGTGCACTCATGCGTGCAACCACATTGACGGAAAAGGGGATAGAATATAGTAACTAGATGGGTACTATCATAGACAGCATTACAGTATCTCGCCACATCTCTAATCGTTATCTTGTTATTCATTAGTTGGTGGTATTCCATGGGGAGTAAGCTTTCATGCGGATCCCCGTGTGGGAGTTTCAAACGTAAGAAGAGTATCAACTCGGCTCTCGTTGTGGATCAGCCAGTCGTTGGTGACACAACAGCTTGTAATGTTTGCAAGCAGCCCAACTCTGTTGGGTAGTGCAGAAATATGCCTTACTACTCGAGCAACACACATTCCTTCGCAGGTATAATGCTAATGTATTTGTATGTGGTACTTGTCGGTCAGTGAATAGAATCCATAGGTATGGCAATGGTGAGCGAAGATTGAGTACAGTAGAACCGACTCCGAATAATGAAGTACTTTTGTTTTGTTTGTATAAGGGTGATGAATAGTTGAATAGCTGTATCAGATACGACTACTAAGGCACAGCTCAACGGTCTTTGCATTTCCTGACAATAGCAGGGCATTCCCTCAGCCTAGCGGTCCTGATGATAACACGATACCACCGTGCGCTGTCTGTTTGGATAACCCTGGGGACATTGTAGGTTCTCCTTAACCACTATCATGGTGCATCGATTTGTCCTAGATCTCATTACCATGTTGTCATGGTGGTCTATGTGAGCCTTGCGCCCTCCATATAGCAAGCAACGAGGCCGTTGGTGGAGCATGCTGCCCGAAGTGTCGTGCTAATATAGACAAGCTGGTAGTACTCGATCGTGATGGTCATCCCATGTCCTTTCTATCTGCTCATGATCGTCATCACCAGGTCCGACTTGCCAAGTTAGCAGATCCAATATCTACCGGTGTTGAATTGTCGATACCAGCGTCTAGCAAGAGCCGACCCGCCCCGAGAGTACCAGCTCCTCCAGGATCAAAGAAGAAGGTGGTAGTGTCACCCAGACTAGTGTGATAAGTATATTCGCTTCGAACTTTCAGCATGGGAAATAGACACCGTATGCTCGTGTGGGGGAGCGTCACCCATCATCTCTCGGAGTGTGATAAAGATTATTACGTCTTGGGTGACTTCAACATGGACAAGACTTCAAATATGAACCTCATATTTTCAATCTTTTTTATTATTAATGATCGACCATCCCTGGAATTTGTATTATGATTGTGAAACCCCGTTCACTACTACACTACTTGCGTTGTCTGTTGTATGATTGTCGCGATGTTCGCTGATACGCAACTCCGCCAACGAGAAGGGGTCTTGATGATGCTGCTTAGATCAATCTGAATAGTTCATATTCTACCTGTGATGGTAGAACGTATGGTAGTATGGTGCTATTCGCTTCTATTTAATCCCCTCTACATAATCAACGACAGGTATCGTCCGATCTTCTACGACTCTGTCAGTTTTTGCGTTACAGGATGCGGAACTGTTCTTGGATTTGGGTCCTCATAGGTTGTGAATTTCCTTCATTTTCATATGAACTATGGATTCAACAGATGCTGTAATATGTGAGGAAGTCCTTGACCTTCTTAAGAAGACTTATGAGATGGTGTGTGGGAAGTGAGTCTGTCTTTCACCGGCTCATCTTCGAGAATTCTCTGTCAGACCAACCTCTTCTCTCGTTGTCCCGTTCGAGGTCCTGCATTTGATATCCGATGAAGCATGGCACTGTGTTGTCGAGTCCATCAAAGATGAAGTTGGCTCGAGCGTTATCGCCTCACTCACAGCAGGCAGTGGTGGATTGGCTCTAAGCCGTCGGCTAGGTAGTGTTGCTACTACTATACGAGGCAATGAGTGTCTACAATTTCAGGCATACTGCGAGAACTCCTTTGCTTGGTACAATGTCATAGACTCATCGAGGGCAGAGCAAAGAGGACCGGCGAGCTTGGCCCCCCAGGAGTGGTAGTACACTAGGGTATGGAGCATTCGACATGCGAGGTGGCCATCTTGCCGATATGCGAGGAGCGCTTCTCATCCAGGTTCGATCTTTGCGTTTACCCGATGGATCGAAGTCGGCATCATCCTTTACTGAGTCCATGGATGTCGGCACCATCAGCCGTCATGACCATCTAGCCCCAGCTACTCTTGATTTGCGTGATGCCCTATATTCGGAATACGCTGTCAGAATAGACGATATGCTCCGACGCTTCGCCATTAGTGTGAATGCGATGACGCAATCAAAGAAGTTCAGAGCTCTGCCTAGTGAAGAGAGGTGACCTGGGAAAGTACCACTACCTGATCAGGATTCATGACTTCAGATTGAGAATTCTCACTACCTGCTCTGGGTTATCATTCCGTTGGGCGTCGATCGATCGGATATACCCGTATGAAGGTATTGGTTATACCAAAGTGAGTAGGGCATTGTATGCCATGACTGCTATCATCTACTCTCAGGCGACTCTCCATAAGATAGCCTCTAGAAAAGCTGATAGACCCGAGATGCCGATGATTGTTAAGCGAGCCAGTGTGGGGAAAGTTCCTAATAGGGGAGGTGATTATCTTCAAGAGCGACACCATCAGTAGTGCGAGGTGGTGGATGGCAGGTAGTCTGGACTGTTATTCAAAGTCGGCTTTTGATGCGAGCATTCGGCAAGCCAATCTCGACCTTATACGCAAGTACGAGAAGGGGGGTGCTCGGAAAGGCAAAGGAAAAGGGAAAGGAAAAGGTATCACACACGCGGAGGGACATAAAGGCAACTTTGTCTTGATCAGGACACGGCAAGGGGTCTAAAGGGAAGGGCAAAGGAGACGATAGCCACAGCAATGGTAAGTATCTGTGGCTCCCCGCACAGGATCCGTGCAGTACTCGGCGGCTTTCAGGGTCAGGTAAAGGGAACTTCCAACCCGGAGGTGTTGTACTCACGCCTAACGCACGCAGTTCACATGGCAACGGATGTATGTCAGTTTTATACTGTTAGTATTCGCGAATACTGACACGTTGTCAGATAACGACAATAGGGGTAAAGGAGGTTGGGGTAAGGGGAAGGGAAAAGGAAAAGGCTTCGGGAAAGGTTTTGGAAAAGGTAGTGTTATGTTACGCCCGGTTCCTGTTTGGTTTGTGATGCATTTCCATGTAATCGACTCCTCAGGCGGGAAGGGCCGTGATTATTACTAATTGCTCTGATCAAGTTGTGTTTTTCTAAAACTTCGGTGTTGTGTTGACACGTGGAATACAGAAACCGACCGCGAAGTCTACACTGCGGCTGTGGGTCACAACCTCAAGAAACACACAACCGTCGCGCGCCTATGTCCACGAAACTGTGCTCATTCGTGGCCACCTGAATCATATAGATCAAATTCCATGCAAATGTAGTGTGGAATACATCGTACGATGTAAAACCTGAGTCTTATCCTGTGTCATTTACTGCTAATTTCGATGAAGTGCATTATTTGTACTACATACTCCAACGTGGGGGTTTGCGTATCAGGTCAATGCTTGCGAAATGAAACAGCCACATCGCACAAATATTGTAATTCGTATCTCGATGTTCAATACATCATATTTTGCCCGTAAAAACCTCCTGGCTTTCACTCCACCGGAGGTATGTCATAGTGTAAGTGCGTTAAAAATCGAAAGCTTCTTGCGAAGCTCACACTCTACTATACATAGTATGCATTACGTACTGAGCGGAATATACTAACGAAGTATTTCCCACAAAGAGTGGAGTTTAACGCGAGTCGGCAAACTTCTTAAAGAAATTGACTGAGATTCATGGTATTACGACGGCAAAGAGTTGTAGATTGGATGGTGCGAAATTTATTATAGCATGATTTCAGATTGTTCCACTCCGCTGGTTTTCTCGTACTTGGGGATACCGGCAGTGACCTCAGAATCGATTCCGCATTCACCAATGGCGATCTTGAATATTCCCTGATCACCCCAGTTGACGTTCCAGGAGTTCATAACCAACCAATACTGTTCATCTGACACATACCGACATCACCAAACACATTCACAGAGCGGCGGTCTACTTTGGTCAATGCCCCATCCAATTATTTTAACAGCATGACCACCCAACTCAGAGCCGTTAACATGCTTGTAGACGCCAGACTTGTAGTATGGGAAATCCTCGTAGACAGTGAATGCGGCTGCAACCTAAAGTATCATATATAAAAAGCTAGTCGAGATAGGAACGATCACCGGCCCATTGTCGATGATTTCCCTCTTTATCTCGTCGACTTCATCGAGGCTGTAACCTTCATCTTCGGTGAAATGACGATCGCTTGAAAAAATTCATGACATACCCACAGAGATGGCTGACTTACCTCTCGAACGATGGTTTAAAATGATGATTGCGGCACGTAGTGGAGCAAACTGGTGAAGGGCTGTTCCCCTTGCACGGCTCCATGCCTTTCGTGTCGACATGGTGGGAGCACTCCGGGAAGTTATATGGCCAGCATCCAGAATCCAGCTCTGGTGCAAACGTCTGCAAATCGGCTCGATAATCGCCACCTGTGATCATCGCTGAGACTATCCGACACACTGGACCCTACCTGAGACTACGCCATGCTCACTGAACCACCGCCATGCGCTATCAGGTTGACCGCCATCGCAACCAAATGAACTGAGGACGCAAAGGGTGAACATGATCATCCATGACAAGCGTCCTACAAGCAACCTTCTTCTTCTGAGCAACATGCCGCAGTGTGGCCAGCAGAAAGTGGTACCAGGTCAAACTGTCCACCCGAGCGGATGCACAGACGATCGCTGAATGCTTCAGACGTCGCAAAAGCCCAGCAGCTACCACAGGTGGACTGATCCCTAACGTAACAGAGTAGAAAGCATGTGGCAGGACTGTGTGGTCTAACCTGACATGACCGATGACAGTGGCACAGTTTTTGAAGTGTTCTCGAGCGTCGAATCTATCGGGCAGGTTACTCAAAACCGTTGATTCACTGGCAGGCTTCTTAGGCAACTTCGAAGGCCCATTCAGAATTGTTCCGCAAAGAGCTTTGACATCAAACACGGAGGCACCTACACCGACACAACAACACAACAACAAGGGCCACATCATAGCATACCTTTGAACCTCTCCTGCTTGGATGAAGCAACCCAAGTCTTCTGCCCTTGATTCAATGCATCCGCCAAACTGTCCATTAACATTGGACGAGACATCGAGAATAATCCCGATAAACCACCACTCGGGCCCGAAGCAATAATCGGCTTGCCAGCGGCCGCCTTGGATGCCGCGCGGTATGCAGCAATGAACTCTTCACGGTGTTGTGTGAGTTCCTCCAGTGTATACTTGATACCTGACAATGACCAAACGTTCGGTAGCAAAAGATCGTCTACTTACCGCTGTCCTTGATGAGGTAGTCGAAACTTTCCTCGAGCTCGAGCATAGCTGATACATTCCTAGGAGATGTGATGAATGAACTTGTGAGTGCGGTAGAGTAGATGAAAGTAACAAGAACTTTCGTGAGGTTTAACATGAATCAATGAATGACAGGTAAAATGAACTGTGATGGTACAAGCAGGATATATGGTCATTCTTGCTACTTGAAAGCACGAAAAACCAGCACTAAAACTTGCTGAAGGCACATGAAAAGTCAGGGTTTGTGATTTGGCAGAGATTGAATACTTGCAGAGTATCTTGCGCCGCACGTGATAGAAACCGCCCGATGAAAATGTGAAACAATCATCAATCGCGAGGCGGAGCGTTGAATGGGCGCGGTATGGTGAACTAGGGAGAGTAATGGCGGCCTATATTCCATTGCGTACGCCTGTTGGGAGTTTCCAATACTTATTTGTTCACAGCTACGTTGTCAACGTCGATTTGAGTAATGGCAACAACAACAGCAGGATGTCCTCACTGTGGATCACTGGATTCCGAGTAATGCATACCATACCCTCCCCAATGTTTGAACTAATTCAGGATGGACTCACGGACAGGACAGACAGTATGCCTAGGGTGTGGTGAAGTCCTCGAAGAGAATAGAGTAGTCTGCGAGTTGAGCTTTACCCAAAGTGGTGATCGAACGGGCGTCAATGGGCAATCGGTCCCATGGCTGGGTGGTGGAGGCCGCAGAGGAGGGTGATCACGTCAGCTGGGGTACTTGTAGTAGTTATTATCATTACCTTGTTAGATACTCGAGTGAGAACTCGAGGTTATTGACACTCCAAAGAGGCTCTACCAGAGTGGGTTGTTCTTGTTGGTCGTATGATCAGCTTTCCAGATTAGCCCTGCCCATGTTTAGATCGAATGGATTGGCAACCGGCTTGAGTTACCTACAAGTACGATGGATGAAGCCAAGCGACTCTTCTCCTTGGCGGCCCAGCGGAACTTCACTGCGGGTCGGAAGACCTCGGTGGTTGCTGCTGCATGTTTGTAAGGAAATATAGAGGCTTATCATCAGATCCTTTCACTTGTCAGATACATAGTATGCCGTCGTGATCGGACACCGTATCTTCTCATCGACTTTAGTGATGTCCTCCATGTCAGTGTTAGGGAGATTGGACAGATGTGATGCTGGGTGATGAGTATTGTCAATGACTAAACAGCTCATGCTAGGTACATGAAGCTTGTACGGCTCTTAAGTCTTGACAAGGTGTTGGATATTCCAGTAAGGGAATGTTCCGGATGAACCTAAATATCCACACCATCGTGACGGCAGGTCATCGACCCATCCATGTTTATGGAGCGCTTTTCAAGTCATTTGGGGCTCGGTGATAAACAGAATCAAGTAGTACATACGGCAATCCGACTTATACAGCTCATGAGCCGTGATTGGATATGTATGAAGGGATACGGTCAGTCGCTGGAAGGGAGTAATCCTCCGGTGTATAGGTACTGGTCGCCGCCCCACAGGCCTCTGCGGTGCAGCATTACTGATCGCCGCTCGCTACCATGGCGTTGAGAATGTTACTGCTAACTCAGTTGCTGGAGTTGTTCGAATAGGAGCGGTCACGCTCAAAAGACGGCTGTGCTAACTAGGCTATACTACTATTACGAGGAAAATTGTTTTTGCTTTCACAGCTACGAGCTCAAACACACCCCGACTGCTGCACTCACGACAGAACAGTTCAAGTCGCTGGAGAACGCTCCAGATCCAGCCGATGGATCCCTACCAGGTGGAGACTCAGTGCAGGAAGCCGGAGCGCATGGTCAGCTCCAGATGGCGTTACCGGAAGAAGCTCGGGCTACTACCAGTTTACCACCAAGTCTGGTAATAGATGGGGGGTGATATTGATCGTGGAGTAGACATCTGATACTACCTGTTCAGATGCGTAATAGGATCAAGGAGGAGAAGATGAAACTGTTAGGTCTACCGCTGAAGGATGAATCCAAGATCGTGAGTATTTTACACAATCTCAACTCGCGTGTCGATGAGCAATCACCGAATGATGGCGTCTTCAGATCATCCCAGTAAAACCTCTTGGAACGCAGAAGAGCCTCGAGAATGGAGAGCGGGAAGTCGAGCATCCCCAGCTTACTGACATTACCCATCATGATGCTGAATCCAGTCAGGCCAAGCCGAGCAGCAGTAGTAGCAGTACTGATCCTACGGCGGGTGCGAGTGAGGGAGATTTACCAGAATGTAGTGAGGGGAGGCCATTAGGGCATAGTGTTATTCACTGGGACATCATACTTGCAATCTACAGCATTTCCAGGTCAAATTAGTTTTTACCGATAAATTTAATTTTCTACCCATTTGGTTAGTATTTTACCTTTTTAGTTAACACTTTACCCATGGCTTTAATTGGAAAAAACCAGTAAAATTAATACTATACCCGGTTTATTTGAAAGTTTGGGAGTTTTATTCAACCAAGGCGCTCCCATTGATAATGCGCGCGTGCAGAGTTAACAATAGACCAGTGGTCCAGTGGACCAGGACCACTTTTAAGATAGCACGGAATGCACTGAGACTCTATTGTGTTGAAGAAGGGAGACATCATACGGTAGAATTACACAGGAAAAGCATAAAAGCAGTTGAACAGGTTGATTTTTTGGTGATACTCATCATTGACTCTTCTCCCAGCGAGCCATTGGAGATAGGCGGCGAGCGAGGCAAGTGCAACATCAATATAACTGCCGGAGCAGCGACGCGACTCCTCGAGTTGTCATCGACCTTCACCACGTGTGGGTGGTTATCGCGCATGTTCTTGGTTAAATTAGACCTTCAAATAAACCGGGTATACTATTTATTTTATTGGTATCTTATTAAAGCCATGGGTGAAATATTAACCAGATGGGTAAAAAGTTAAATTTGTCGGTAGAAAATTGATTAGACTTGGAAATGCTGTAGTGTTTCGGTATACCGGTGGATCAGCCGTCTCGTACACTATGTCGACTAATAACCAGTATGTCCGTGTGAGAAAATGAGTGGTGTCTCGTCTATTTTAGTGGATGAGCTATACAATGCCCTGCGATCAACAGCAACTTCGGGTGTCGAGAGTGATGGTGAACTCATAGCGAAGTTGGATACAGTAGCCGGAAGGACAACCGCAGCTAGCGATGACGCCGACCCTACTAGCTTACTGGAAGAGGATGCCAAACAGAATAAGCGGCCACTGGATGATGATGAGGAATCCATATCAGATGTTAGTGATTCTGAGATTGAAGGGTACTAGTGATTGGCTTCAGCATCATGTCTGCCTATACGTATTCATCACGGTGGTAGTTACCTTCTAACGCCAGAGGAATCAGAGGCTAAGTCTGCCATCTGGCATCAGTGGAATAAGCCCTATCTCATGGAATGGGCAATACGTGATGAACAACGGAAGGCGAAGAAGAGAGCCGAGGATGAGGCTAAACGTAATGGTACCTACAAACCAAGGAAACGCCCGGTTCCCTCAACTGGTAACGACACCGTAGAGATGGATCTGGAAGTTTGCTCCGCTTTTCAGCCATGGGCCCAGCGGATTCGGCGTTGGAGGCAACTCAGATGGCCCTATCGAAGAAAGCCCGATCCCTGAGCAACCGTGTTAACATGTCAGCGCTCGAGGAGCTGTTCAAGACTTAGTTTGGCCATCCCTGTTGAATCAAGATATGTGGGTTAATCTGTATCGTTATGGCTACCCCTGTAGAATTGTTGAAGTCGGGTCTGCGTCTCGAAGTTCCCCACATACTTTGCTGTATAACTTTCTTAGCCATACCCGACCACGTCCTCACTGTACTCTTGTCATCCTTGTTACTAAACTACTACCTCGACGTTAAACCGAAAGTATCCACTCCTCAGGGGCTTATGCGTTGCGTATGGTCCTCGGTATAAGGGATATGACAGACTCATAGGTTTTGTGTGTATGACCTAATGGCCACACATTCGTCGTCAGCAGCCGATGAATGCATTAGTCGAGCCGTTGACTTCTTGCACGCATGTGATAACGAAACATATAGGAAGAGCTGTGTTGACATGTTGGTTAAGGTAGAGCGCGGATTTCTCAGGAGGCTGCACTCGCTCTTGTCAGGTCCTAAGTAATCCTATTATTACGTCTTGTGTGACACCTCAGACATTGGAGAAGCTCTTGTCGACTGATCGAGTGTTCCGCCAACACCTACAGCGAGCGGTAGCTGCGAGTCGTGTTCCTGCAAACCCGCAACTGAATCTTCGAGACCTCAGCCGGTTAGTCGAAGCAGTGTCTCCTCGGGACTCTATATTGGTTATTAGAAGGCTTGATCGGCTCAAAGGTGATATGCAGGCACTGCAACAAGCCCTAGCAGTGGATCCTCGAGAAGTGATACTTTGGCCGGCTCCTCCGCGCGGGGCCTCCGACACTCATAAACCTCCCGGAATGGCATTCCTGACATGTCTACGAGGACCTACTGCAAGTCGAGAAATACTTGAACGATGCAAGGGAATGGTTACAGTACATAAAGCTGATGGTGTGCCTGTCAATATAACTGTGCAGGGGTATGAGTACCGCACCAATGACAAGAGCAAGAGAACTGAAGTGCCAGACGTTTCTGCACCACATTATATGTCTCGGACTTGCGTTGTTATCACTGAAGGATGGAGGGCAGCAGAAGTAGTCGTCGGGAGTCCCTAGGAGGAATTCTACTACCGTCACGGGCATCGACCTCCCCTTTTATCTAAGGCTTCTGGTTTAGTCCTAATCAACCTCGCATACTGTGGAATTGTTCAGTGAAATTTGCCGAGTTAACGTAGAGAATACATGCCCCGATTGGGTGAATGCACAGTCCAGTCTGAGGTCGTGGCTCGATGCTCAATCCCTGAACTCGTTAGTAATGTCGGCCAGTCCCAGTACCCCTGATGAACTGTTTCACTAGTATAGTAGCAGATCAAGGTTCTCGAGGCGAGGATAAAACTAGAGGATCAGCCCCACTCATGTTATTGTGACTACTACCAAGGTTTAATATATGACCGAGTTTGATCCATACCAAAAAATTCCCACCTCGCGTATTGGCAGCATCATCCCCATTTGAACAATGAATGATGGGATAAATGGAGCTTTTACCCGTGTCTTATTGCATTTGATGCCTCCAGACCACAACCTTCATCCCTTCCCGATGCACAACACTTAGACAAGCTATGCTGAAACTGATACTATAAAACGGAAACTGGAGTTACTCTAGCTACATGAATACTCTTCCCACGTTACGTGAGTGATTATTGTAACGGCCGCTTAAGAGAACTGGAAGAGGCGCTACGGGGAGTGAAGAGCTCTTTGAGCTCCTCCTCAACGGTCTTATTCCCCATATTCACTAACTCTGATATCCTCGCGCGTAACTGGCGGGATTGGCAGTATCGAACAGCTGTACACGATATACTCACCGTTATGGGCAAGGGTTGCTGCTTCCTCTCGAACAGAATTCTAAAGTCTTCGAGTGTAGGAGGACTGTCGATGTCAAAACCCTTCAAGCTTGGGAGATCTTCTCGGTACTTTCGGATAGCATCCCTCATCGAAGCATCTGTTGGATATTCGGCTCGAGCCTGAGCAACACCCCGCTGAGGAGTAGCCGAGCCAGTACGGAAACAACCTGGTCCAACAAGCTTTCAGGGGCTTCGACCAATCTATCAGGTTCAACTTCGAGCATGTGTGTGATCGCTTTAAACTTCCCAAGAACAGCTGGAGAATCCGTGTCATCAGCAGCCTGGCATTGAATAGTTCGACCACCGTCTGAAGTCTTTTCAATCAACTCACCAAAGCTTTCTGATTCCACCATTGCTCAGCCTGTTGCAGCGATCTCTCGGTAACATGAAAGTCCGCTAATACTTCGCTCTGCCTTGCATGCAGTCTCTGGCAAATAGAAGGGAATCTGTGATGATCCTAACGGTCTGTGTTTATACTCCGACAGGATTCTACCTCGCGGCAACTGATAGAGTAGGCTCATTGTCTTTAGTACTCCCCTTAGGGATATTACGCACCTGAAGACAAGTGGAATGCTCTGCATCCCCTCAGGCGCATTGTCTACTTCAATTTCTTTCATAGCGAGCCAGCACTCAACAGATGGTCCCCAGAGCTCATCAAACAGTGCTAGGCTAAAGCAATCCAACACACGTGAGATGAGAGCTGGTCCGTCCACTGTAAGCTTTCTGACCAACGATGTGTGTATTGCCCGAGACCGACGCCGCATGGCTAGAGCTCCCTATGAAGGATACAGGACGTGAGAGTCGATATTAGGAATATATCTTACCAGGGCTATTGCGGTGAGAGCTCCAGTGAGTAACGCAACGCTGGCGGTAGAGCGACCAGTCAGCTGATACGACATATGGTTCAATGAGCGAGCTGTGATACCCATACTCCCTAGGATTGAATCACTCAGAAGCAACATGGTGACATCAAAAGTCTCATATTCTGCAATGGGGAGCACCAAAGACTTCCACTACACTAAGAATAGGGGTGGTACATGCGATCCTAATGATGACGTCAAAGGTAGGGTAATCCTGCATTTGATATTGAAAAATGCTTCCTGCACTCATGCCACTGAGAATCAATCTTCATTGATCCATCGAAGGAATTCTTCTTTCGATAAAGATTTGCCGTCTCCTACTTGAGCCAGTATGTTCTGCGGAGCAACTTACAGCGACCTCCCGAGGGTAGAGAGGCAGTACCTCAGCATCGGTGGTAGTGGTAACGAGGAAGTTGTTGGCCACCATAATCTCGAACAATCCGTCTTCATCCAGCTTTCCACTGTTGGGGTTCTTATAAGTCTCAAACGTGTCGGCTGCTTTCGACTCTTCACGTAGAGCACTCTTCAACAGATGCATGTCGAAGATCCTGGGTAAGAATTACCCTTAGCGAGATTGTGGACACTCACTTCATGTGGTGGATGAACTCAGCGAAGTCGATGAAATTAGACTGATCCTCATCCCACCTAGAAGGCATGATTATAACAACGAGGACTAGAGACCTACTCTCGCCAAAGCTTCATAGCGTAGGTATGGAGGGACTTGGGAGGCACCGTGCTTCCGACCTGTTTTCCACACATGAAGGCAGCTTTTAGTGGGCTTCATTGATCGATTACCTTATTCTTGACTATTTTCATAAAGTTGTTTACATTAATAAGCCCTCCTTTAGACAACTCATCGAAGGGTCTGCGCCAAGCGATCAGTTCATCGTTCCTGATAGGTCAAAGTAAGGACAGTTATGAAGCATAATCTCATATTATTACTTATACTTCGCATACTCGTCGCCCATCCAAGACTTCCATCTCTTGACATGTTGTTCAGTGTATCTGAACCGCCGCCTACTGCTCGACATGCTACCTCGCACCAGTGTATTACTCAACCTCATCATCCTTTCTGTATTTGAAGTCGCCCCCACTCCATAAACGGGGCGTCTGACTTGCGAAATTGAGTCTATGAACAAGAAATGTCGGAGTGCGATATCCTGAAACGGAAAGGGTTTCAGGGAGATGCAGCTTTCCCGAATCACCTGGCCGCAATCTGGTCAAACAAGAAAGCCTGGAAGTAGCCATGTTCACTGGTAGTGGCATCGATAAACGGACACTAGGATGGTAAAGTTAGCCTGTATCACCCGAGGTGTGAAATATGGCTAACGAGGCAGCAGTGAAATCCTACAGTACCCTCCCACTTTGTTGAGAGGTTAGTTTTTCATCCCTCAGGTGATGCATATGGCCTCTATGTACACACTCTTCGGAAGTGTGCTGGAGCTGCAATTCAAACTTCAAGATCTTTCTCACTGGTGGCGCACGAAGTAACGTTTTGACAAGCCCACGCGAGATAGCAAGATTCAATTTCTGCTGATTCCCGTCGGAGTTGAGTTCCATCGTTGGTAATCGCGGTCAGCCTTACATCCTTTCAGCTGTACTTTTCTTTATAGTTCTTCTAATTCTACGCTAGGGGTAGGCTAAGGTAGGGCCAGGAAGATCACCTTAGTTAAGTGATAGGCCTCGAGCCCGTAATACCCGGCAATAGGTTTTGAGTTGAGTCGAGTAAACGTAATGTAGTGACATCGTCTACAGCATTTGGTTGTTGAGCCTATTAGCCTCCGGTGGTTGACAATTGATTGATTTCCACCGTGTAATGGTGTTCCCGAGAAGTGACCACCCTCCTCAACGATACGTGGAAGTGGACGATCGAACTATGGCTTTCACTAGTCCTAATAAACG